GTGCTTCCATAGTGTACCAGAAGTTTCGGTGAGTTGTACTATTATTGCCTTTAACTTACTGAAATTTTTGAATTTATTTTTTAATTTCATCTGTGACCCATTGGTTGTTAATTTTTCAAGAGCTTTTGCCTTTTCCTGAAATTTCTTCCATCATCTATTTCCATTTTCATTGCACAATGGTCTGATAGTATGCATGCGGTAATTTCTAGGCTTTTATACTTACTTAAGCAAGCTTTATGGACTAGTATGTGATATATTTTGGAAAAAGTACCGTAGGCTGCTGAAAGAAATGTATACTCTGTGGTAGAGAGGTGGGATACTCTGATATTATCCCTTAAGAGTATATATTCAAAGGTGTGGTCCCGCTCTGAAATTGCTTTACTGGTTTGTTTAATCTATCTCATTGTGAAATCAGGGAGTTAAAATTCCCTACTATGAATATGTTAGTGTTTATCTTGTTTTTGTTTTATGAAGATAGGTGCTCCAGTACGCAGTGCAAATGTTTATCAGTGCTATCTCTTCTTGTTGGATTGTTCCCTTAATTAGCATGTAGTGAACGTCTTCATCTTCTCAGTTTTAGCTTGAAGTTTACCATGTCTGATATTAGAATTGCTACCCCTCCTTGTTTTGGGGTCCTGGTACATGAAATATTGTTTTCCATCCTTTAATTTTTAGTCTGTGAATACTTCTTTGGATTAGATGAGTTTCTTGAATGAAACAGAATGTTGGATTCTATTTTTTGATCCAGTCTGCTAGCCTGTGTCTTTTAATTGGAGAGTGAAGGTTGCTGTGGGTCTTTTGGTTTTTTTTTGGCAGGGGGAGGGGGGTTGTACCAGGGTTCAAACTCCAAACCTTGTGCTTGTGAGAGAGGCAGCAGCACCACTGAGTAGAGTGAAGGTTGCTAACATTGAGAGGTATTCCTGGAATGTGTTGGTTATTTGCTATCATTGCCTTCTTTTTTTTTTTGGTACCGGGGATTGAACTCGGGTCCTTGAGCTTGCAAGGCAGGGCACCGAACCGCTGAGCTAAATCCCCGGCCCTACTTTTTTTTTTTCTCTGCCTGACATTTTTGAGGATTCCATATCCTTGTTGAATCTGTCTTTCAGATTTGAACTATTTTGGTTAGCTCATAATTTTTTATCTATTTTCCTGAAATCTACCATGGGCATATTGAGTCAAATTGCTGTGAACTTTTGGTTCATTTCTTTTTTTACTTTATCGCTAGTTTTCATGTCTTCTATGAACTTTCCACAGATTTCTGCTACCTTATATTTGTAGCTTTTTTTCTCCCTTTGTTGCCCTTTGCTCTGACTTGAGAGTGTTTTGTGGGAGGTCTAGAGATCTTTCTCCTTAGTTCCCTGTTCTCCTGCATGTATCTGTGATATATATGCCCCTTTTCCCCTCCTTTTTTGAGGAGTTACTGCGGTTTGAGGGTTAGGGAAGTGAGGAGAGTTTGTGGCTTATATGGGGATTTTTAGTAGGACGTTGCCTCCCTATCAATAATTTTCAGTTTTATATGTCCAGTGCTGGTATTTATTCTTTCTGTTATTGGCTTTAAGTGATTTCAACTCTGTCCCTATGGTTTGCCAAAAGAATTACTGCTGGTTATAACAGCACCCATAGATTCTATCTTATAACACTGTTATATGATCGTTCTTGCAGTTACTCCCCCACCACCACCTTGCTATGTACACTATGGTAGTTTATTATATGTGGTTGTTCCGCATAAGGTAGATGAGATTTGGAGGGGAGAATGGGAGGTGGTTGGAATAAACTGTTAGACATCAAGGGGAGGTTTGAAGGGAGGAATAGTGGTAGACAAATATAAAAGGTTTATATGGAGTCTGATTTTATTGGAGTGCTTTCAGTTGAGTTGAATGGTTAGTAATGAGAGTTTTTATAGGATTTTTATGGGGGCAGGGTCGAGATATGGGAAACAGAGGAGCTACTTTGTGATTGAAGAAACCTACGTGGTTGTCAGAACTTGTTAGGATAATAAGCTAGGTAAGATATGGGAGCCAAAGGCTTATGATGAGGAGGATCAAAGATTAATTCTGGACAAGTTAGGAGTGACTGTGATGGAACTTAGTATGAGAAATTTAAATACTTGGGAAGAGGAGCTTACATGTTTGGAAAAAGTAGTAAAAATATGTTAATAGAATTGTCGTGCTAGTTTGAGGTCAAAAAACTAGATGAGAAGCTGAGATGAGGGAGAGATCCTAGACACAGTCAATCAAAGCAAATGAAAGAACATATACACAAAGGTTACAACTTAGTAACACAGGAAACCATAAAAGAACATAATGTAACCCTACATTATTAAAACAAGAAACAGAAAAACAAATCTATAAAATGTCTGATGGGAACACAGATTAAATATTCCAATGAGACACTGCACATGCGATTCCCAAGTAGTTTCTTTGCCAGACAGCCTGGGTGCTCTCACCCCAATAACCTCTCTATGTAACTGTATTTAACCCAATACCGTAATTAACTCAGGCTCAGAATTGCTGTTTGTCAACTTGCAAGCAACCTTGCAGAGTCTGATCTTATCTGAGTTCCTGGAGTAGGAACTCTTCCTGCCCCTCCTCCTGGGTGTGATGGTAGATTTGGCAGATTCACTAGCATGAAATTGTCCGATTATTCCTATGCAGTTGAATCTGCTATACTAGTAGCAGTCTAATCCATTACAGTGGCTTATATCAGGGCTAGTTGAGAAACAACAATACCAGGAAACCTTGTTTTGGGCCTCCTTTTATCCTGGAGAATAAATCCACAGTTAAGCATTTAAAAAAAAGAAAAAGAAAAACCTAAGTCTTGAATCACAGCTAATGTGCAGTAAATTAGATGGCGATGTTTCCTCTAATGGTGAAACCCAGCACTCAACAGTAATTTTATTGAATCAGTTATCTAAAGCCCAGAGGTTTGAGGAGAAAAAGGGGGGAATTGTCTGTTGATTTGTCTTCTGCCATGTGGTATGGAAAGGAGGAAAAAGGAGGGGTATGTTATATATTTAGAAGGGAAAACTTGGTACACAATTTCTAGTGAGAAACGGGGATGGAAAAAGATTCTATGACTAATATTAGAGAACAAGTTAAAAGGAGACAAATGAAAATGGGAAGTAGAAAAAAAGAAAAATCGAAAATGAGTAAGACACAGGAGAAACAACAGATCTGGTTAAAAATAGGAGGAACATAAGGAACAAGGGAAGGGCCGGGGATTTAGCTCAGTGGTTCTGCCTTCTGCCTTGCAAGCTCAAGGTCCTGAGTTCAATCCCTGGTACAAAAAAAAAAAAAAAAAGGAACAAGGAGCCCTCACTTATCCTCTATCACTGATACTGGAAGAAAACAGGCGTGAGGAAGAGAAGCACCCACACAAAAACTCACTCATTAAAAAAAAAACTATAAAATAATGGAATAAAAGTGTGGTGAAAATGTATAACAGGAGGGAAATAGCAATGAATAAAAATATAAAATTTAAAAATGTTTCAATCAAAATAAGAAATAATACAAATTAAGAATAATAAAAGATTCCTATTATTTTGGATGCGTGGCTCTTTTCTTCAGTCTAGGATTAGGGAGCAGAGCTTAATCCCAGATACATCTGTGTTCCTGTTGAATGTCTAAGGTGGCAGTCTACCCCATTTTATCTGTTTCCCTGAAATCTACCATGGACATATTGAGTGAATTGCTGTATTCTTACGGGGTGGCTCCATTCAACATAGACAGGATTCCTCCTGAAATTCAAATTTCAGGTCCACTGTGAATAGATTTTCTTGGCTAGTGTCCCAAATTTGAGTTTTTGTGACCAATAATTGATCTATAATAAATACATGGTCCATTTTGAACTTCAGATAAATAGCTTTTAATATGTGTCTTATTTCCAGAATGGTGCAGGGAGTAGCCATCTGCTCATAGTGAGAAAAGCATCACCAAGTGAGCTTCCAATCCTGTGTAACTCAGGCTGAACCTGGCCGGACTGCAGGAACCAGATCATGCTTATCAGACCATACCCCTCACTGGGACTTTCCCTAGTCTGCTCTCCAACTGTGGGTCATCTCCTGTGGCTGTCTTTCCCTCGTCCACTCTGGGAACTTGGTGGTGTGCAGCGTGGTTTGGGCCAAGAGGCTGCTGCTCTGTGACCAAGGTTCCAACATTCAGCCCTTCCACGATGGTGTCCTCATAAGCCCTTGCTTCGTGATTGTGGCTGTAGTGCTGCACTGAGGTCACTGACCAACTGTGGGCTGTGGAAGGCCACTCTTGGAGCAATATCCTGTATTTTCCTTGTGGGTTCCAACTGCTGATGACTCTTTCCATCCCAGTGCAGTTCCATAGTTCACCATGAACAAAAACGTTGTTAGTTTCACCTTGAGTACCAGCTGCTGTGCTGCAGGGCCTCTCCTCCGTGGTGTGATCTGTTTCTTCTGGATCACTTAATCCTATTTTTTCCCCTCTGTCAGTTCCCTCCTGAAGAACCACGACTCACTTCCATTACTCTCTACACTATAATTTTCCAGACTACAGACACTTTGTCCTGGAGAAGCTGAGTTCCTGACACTCACTGCCCCACTATTTTTCCTTCAATCATGTGCCCTGTCATTCTTAATCTTTAAGTTATTGAGGGGGTTGGGAAATGAACATCAAGGCTGCTTTCAGACTTGCTGAAGGACATGAAAACAATGTGCAATGGTTGGGTCAACAGTAATAACCTGCCACTGAAACAAAACTCAAGCGTCCTGAGCATGTTTCTCTGCAGGAAGGTTGTTCCTGTGGAAAAGGCTGCAATTTTGAGGCAGAATAGTGTGGTGGAATGACTGCCCTTGTGTTTCTTAAGGGACGATGGTGTCTATGCGGGGGACATGGTTCTGAGAAGGACAAGTCCAGGGGAAAGTTCAGGGGAGCTGGACTTTCCCACCTTGTCCTTGCTTGGACCTGATTTGGACATGTGATCAAGCTATTTGAGTCTCTTTCTTTTCTCCCATGTCCTGGCCCTCCCCACAGGTCAGTTACTCATCCACACTGCCCAGCCTCAGTGACAAGACCCAGTTCCCATCCTTTCTGCGTACCCGTGCCAGTGACCTCACATCCTCCCATGCCATCACCCAGCTGGTGCTGCACTTGGGATGGTCCTGGGTAGGCATTCTGGCCCAGGATGATGACTTTGGGCAGCAGGCCGGCACTCTGGCCACCCAGGAGCTGGGCCAGGCAGGTGTTTGCATTGAGTTTCACCTGCATGTCCCTTCCCTTCAGTCCATGGAGAAGATTGATGCCATTGTGTGGAAGATGGAGAAGAGCACGGCCACAGGGGTCCTGGTCTTCCTGAGTAACTCCAATATTCAACTCATCCTGCAGAGGCTGGTAGGCTTCTGTGTCCTTGGCCAGGTCTGGGTCAGCGAGGGCCTCTTGTACACAGTGATTGCCCTGGCCACACCGGGTGCCTCCTGGGTTCTTCAGGGTGCATTTGGTCTTATGTTGCAGAGTGGCCGGGCACATGGATTTCCCAAGTTCTTCGCCCGCCTGCACCCCAGCCAGACCCCAGAGGACATGTTCCTGGGGAGGTTCTGGGAAGCCACCTTTGGGTGCAGGTGGCCACATGATAATGACACTGTGGCAAGGGATGTGCGGCTCTGCTCAGGTCATGAGAGTCTGAGAGGCCACGAGTATCCTTTCCAAGACATAAGTAGAGTGGACGCCGCATACCCCGCCGTCTACAGCGTTGCCCATGCCCTGCAGGACATGGTATCCTGTGAGCAGGGGGATAAGGCATGTGAAGATCCTAGGCACTTCCAGCCCTGGCAGGTGAGCAGCATCACTCTCGGTACACCCATGTATGTGCCCAGTGATGTCACTGTCAGGTGGACACCTGAGGGATCCGGCAGGAACACTGGACCAGGAGTCCCAAAGCCATAGTGGCTGTGTGGGCTCAAATGCATTCTGTTCTTACGGGGTGGCTCCATTCATCATAGACAGGATTCCTCCTGAAATTCAATCTCAGGTCCACTGTGAATAGATTTTCTTGGCTAGTGTCCCAAATTTGACTTTTTGTGACTAATAATTGATCTATAATAAATACGTGGTCCATATTTGAATTGAAGATAAATAGCTTTTATTATGTGTCTTATTTGCATGGAGATATGCTGTTACTAAGAAGGATCTTTAAATAGCACTGTTGATTAGCCCAGGGATGTAATAAGACTTCAGGTACACATCTCATTTTATGTTTTATTTGAGATAGAGTCTCGCTAAGTCTCTAAGTGGCCAGGCCTTCTCATCGTCTTGCCCGTGTCAAGCTTCACTCCTCTTTATTTGCCCTCTGGAGACCTAGGCTGTGAACACAAAAGTGTTGTCTGGCCCACCTCCACCTCAGAGCTATGGAGAAAGATACCCCCTGCTAAACCTGCTCTCTCCAGGAAGATATAAAAACCTGGAGGCCTCCTCACCACAGATAACCATGCCCATGCCATTGACTTCCTGGATCCTCCTGCTCCAGTCCACTCAGGGCCATCCCTGTGGCTTCTCCCAGCCAGTGTGCCCAGGGTGACGCTTCACTGCACCTTTATAACTGTCGTGAGAGGAAGGTTCACACATGGGTTTTCTTTGAACTCTTCTGCAGAACCCAGAGGTTGGGGGCCCACTTGACATTGGAAAGCAGGGTAACAACCTGAGGAAAGCAGCACACGTGTCTGTAAGGCTCAGATTTTTAACACTCCTCCTCGGTGTGTAATGTCTGCCGTCTCCAACCTGCTGCCATCTGATGGGTGGGAGGACAGGGAAGTTGGGAAGGGCATCTTCTCCAGCTACTCTCTGCACAGATGGACATCCTCTGTCTGGAGTGGACAGCTATCTCCTGGAGATATGCTGATGGCCTAGGAGGTCATGGTACAGGCTGGGGCAGAAACGGGACACAGTTGTGACCTCCACCCTAATTAAGGGGTCTCTACTGGTTGGGGGCTAAGAGCACATGGCTTTTGGTGAACAGACAGTGAGGATGCCTTGCTGTGGGTCAGGGAAGACAGATTAGAAATGAACAATAACGTGAATCTCCCTGCTGTGAGGTGGATGAAGGGGTGGGGAATGAGTGGAGGGCCCAGGTTGGATCTCAAAGACAATGCATCTGAGATCCAGCCCGCACAGGAAGTTGCTGCCCTGGGAGGAGAGTGGTGGCCCCAGGAGCACCCCCCGCCAAGGCTCTGCAAAGGAGTAGAGCCCAGGCAGGGCTGCAGCCGGGCTGGGGACAGTGGCTGAGCTGGGATCAGAGGCACAGAGGGCAGAGCCCTCCGTGGATATCACATATGGGGAATGCACTGAACTCAGTGGGATGGGAAGCTCTGCATGGAACGCAGCAGCCATGATGGTCCTGGGTTCCTGCCTTCATGGAACAGAAAACGGAAGTTTAACTGATGGGTGCCTTATAGCAATAAGGATGATCTGATTCATTACTAAATATGGCTCACTTTTAAACTTTCCTTTTGATTTTACATGAAGTGAAAGGTGGGAACCTTTTTCTGGCTCCCTGTGCCCCATGAGCTCATGGGCCAGATGGTGCTGCCTAGAGCTCAAACCTCTGTCCCCCAGCCAGGGCTCTGGCCGGCTACATGTCACCCTCCTTCCCCAGCTCCTTCACCCCCTCAGAAAGGTGCGCTTCCAGACCCCCGATGGGACCCACATCATGTTCGATGCCAACGGAGATTTGGTGACAAAGTTCGACATTCTCCAAAGCCAGCAGAGCCCTGAGGGCCAGTTCCACTTTGTCCACATTGGCAGGATGGAGCCTCATCGCTCTCCAGAGGACAGAATGATGATTTTCTTGAAGGATGATGTTCAGGTCGGTCCCTCGCTATTGCACAAATGGTCACAGGCTTGGGCCTTGGAGTTGGGGAAAGTCAGATCCGAGGTTCTTATCTCTGTTGGAGGCATGAAGTGGATGTGGCTGTAAACTGAGCCAGTTGTGGTTCAGCTCTGCTGTTTGTCCATAGTGGACTCTTCTGTGAGGGTGGAAAGGCATTTACTCACCATCAAAATTAAAACCATGGGTCTGGGTACAGTGGTGCACACCTTTCATTCCAGCTTCTCATGAAACTAAGGCAGGAGAATTGCAAGTTGAAGGCCAGTCTGGGCAACTTAGTGAGACCTTGTCCCAAAAAGAAAAATGAAAAATGGCTGGTGATGCCACTTAGGGGGGAGGTTCTTGGTTCACTCTCTAGTAGAGAGAGAGAAAAAAGGAGAAACTCGAAGAGCTGCACTATTTATGTCAACTAGGTCAGCATCAGCAGTCGTTCATTTGCTTCACGTCTTTCTCGGTGTCTGGCTCATGAGGACCTGGGAGATTTCCATTGTCCCTCCACACCTGTCCCATGAAGCTCTGGGGAGGCAGGGACTGCTTCTCCCGTGACTCACTGACACACGATCCTACAACTGGTGTTGTTGTTGTCCAGGGTTGTTACAGCCCAGGACCCCCTTTAGTCCCCTCCTCTGCAGCCTGGCCTGGCTCTGTCCCTGCAGCATCTCCAGCATGATAACCTTGGGTATTCACAGGAGATCAGGGCTCCATTCCTGAATCCTTCCTCCAAGGACACTGCTGCATGCTTAGAGGATCCTGTGGGCCTTTCTTCAGGCAGGAGCAAGGGCTCCCATTCTTTTCTAGGGAACACAGCACCCACTCTTCCATCTATGGTGTCTGCACCCTCTCCCTCCCATATGCTCCTCCCTGGAGGTAGAACCCGGGCGGAATGGGCAGCACCATGGCTGTGCAGGTCCCACTGTGCAAAGGAAGGGTGTGCATGTTTGTGTGTGCGTATAAGGTAGTGTGGGCCCAGCACCTGTAGTTCCTGATGTGAGCTCCAAAGGCAACGGGCAGGGCCTTGTGCACAGGGTTTTCTGAGTGCCACCTTCATACCAGGAGTCAGGTAGACCCCTGGAATGGGTGCTCAGTTCCTTCTGGGTGCTTCCCTTGTGTCTGGTTCCTGAAAGCAGAGGACCTTTTCCCTGAGCACTGCCTGGTCCAGTAAGGATGCCACCTCTCTGCTCTCTGCTAGCTCAGGTCAGCCCTAGGCCCCGAGTAAGTAGGGTCCCTACTAACACCCTGCAAACTGTTCCCAGGTGCCTAGCTCTGTCTGCGGCACCAGCTGTGAACCAGGATTCAGCCAGATCGCCCGAGAGGGAGCCCCCCACTGCTGCTTTGAGTGCCGGCCCTGCTCAGAGGGACAGTTTGCAGACCAGAGAGGTGAGTAGGAGGCTGCATTCTGAGGTATGAAGGTCAGTTTGCCCTTGGATCCCCACTCACACAGGGTGCTGCAGGGTCTCCACTCTCTGGGAACTTTCGATGGACCGTGGCTAACATGACATTCTCCCAGTTATTCTTAGGCAAATGTGTTCTCAACTGTACCACATGGACAGCCACGGTGGAGACGGTGCCCTAAGGAATCCTCCCCTCGTGCCCACTCTCATCTGTGCCTGTCCTAGTACAGGGTGTTCTTTCTGCCCTAGAGCCCTTGGCCCTGCCCAGGTCACCATATTCTGATCCTCAGGCTTGGTTTAACCTCCTGTGCATGGAGGGCTCGATGAGGTACTTGTGAATCTCATCTCTTCTACTTTCTGTTTGTGATATTCACTCCCACTGGTGTGAGGTAATTAATCCCATAGTTCAGGCCCTCTATGGCACAAAAATGCATTTTCTCCCAACTCTGAAGGTAGAAGTCTGAGATCTTTGTGTCAGCAGGATAGGATTCTTGAGTCCTCTCTCCTGGACTTGTATGTGGCCATGTTCAAGTACACTACTGACTAGCAGTTTGGGGTAGATAATGTTATGCAGCTCTTTTGAATACTGACTAGCAGTTTGGGGTAGAAAGTGTGCCCTCAGGTATTCCCAGGGTCCCACTCCCTTCTCCTGAGGATTCTAAGCATGTTGGTTTAGGCCCAACCCAGTGACCTCATTGAATCTTAATTACCTCATGTCCAATTTTCCTATCTGCAATTAAAAATGCATTATTATGTTCTGGAGATCAGGACTTCAGTAAGTTAGTTTTGTACAACACAATAGCTAAACACACTTGAAATAAAGCAAGGACAACTTCCAGACCAGCCGAGGAAACATAGTGACTTACAGAAATGCTGTTTTAAAATACAATGTAATAAACAGGCTTGGGATGTAGCTCTGCACAAAGGCTTTGGGTTCAATCTCTTGTACAAAAACATAATAAAACATTATTTTAAAAGCACACAAATATATAGGGCCTGCACTTTTCCTACTGCCTCTGACTCTAACGCCACCTTCACTTCAGGGGTGACTAAGAATAAATATGGAAGAACGTGAGCTATTCCTAGAGGTCCTGGTGCAAAGAGAGCCCTTCCAGAGCTGCTGTTGTGTAAGGTATGCCCAACATGGGTTCTGTGTGTCTCCCACAGACATGCAGAGCTGTCGCCAGTGTCCCGAGGAGCTGTACCCCAGCCAGACCAGAGACCGCTGCCTTCCCAGGACAGAGACCTTCCTGGCCTTTGATGAGCCCCTGGGCCTTGCGCTGACATTGGTGGTGCTGGCGCTGGCCGGCCTGGCATGCCTGGTCCTCGGGGTGTTCCTGAGGTTCCGGGACACACCCGTGGTCAGGGCCAACAACAGGGCCCTCAGCTACGTGCTCCTGGCCTCCTTGGCCCTCTGTGCCCTGTGCCCTCTGTTGTTCCTGGGTCGCCCCTCACCCACCACCTGCCTCCTCCGCCAGACCACCTTTGCCGTGGTGTTCACTGTGGCCGTGTCCTGTGTCCTCGCCAAGACGCTCACCGTGGTCCTGGCCTTCAGGGTCACTAGGCCAGGACAGAGGGTCCTCATGTGCCTGAGGCCCAGTGCCTCCTCCTCCATGGTTTTTGTCTCCTCCTTGATGCAGGTCATTCTCTGTGGGGCCTGGCTGGGCACCTCCCCACCATTCCCACAAAAGGATGCAACATCAGAGCCAGGCCACCTCGTGCTCCTGTGTCAGGAGGGCTCTGGGGTCGCCTTCTCCTGCGTGCTGGGCTACCTGGGCCTCCTGGCTGTGGGCACCTTCTCTGTGGCCTTCCTGGCCCGGGACCTGCCAGACACCTTCAACGAGACCAAGTTCCTCACCTTCAGCATGCTGCTCTTCTGCAGCGTCTGGACGGCCTTCCTTCCCCTGTACCACAGTGCACGGGGCAAGGCCACGGTAGCTGTGGAGGTCTTCTCCATCTTGGCCTCCACGGCAGGACTGCTGGGTGGCATCTTCCTCCCCAAGTGCTACCTCATCCTGCTGAAACCTGAGAGGAACACCCTGTTCGGTCTGAGGCCTGGACCCAGGTCTAAGAGTGGATGTGGGAGTCTCTTGGGAACGGGAGTCCCTCCAGGCCTTCATCACAGCACCAGTTGAGTCAGGCCTCACTGACAGCAGCAAGATCCTGGGTCTAAGCTGTTGGTTCCTGTGTCGACTGAGGGAGAGGTGAGGATTCAGTATCCATCAAGTGATACATAGATAAACAAGTGTGATCTATCTATGAATTAAATGGTGTGTAATAATAAGAAGGAATGAAGGATTAATGCATGCTACAACATGGATGAATCTTGAAAATGTTAGGTCAAGTGAAAGAAGTCAAATGCAGAAGACCACATGGTGTAAGACTCCAGTGTTCTATAATATCCCAGCAGAGGCAAATCCATGGGACATAATGTAGTGTTTTTCTGATGTTGGGAGAGGGGGATTGGAGGTTCTCGTGATGACCAAGAGGTGCAGCCTTTCTCTCGGAGATGATGAAGTTCTCAAATTGATGTTGGTAATGATTGTGCAACTGTGAAGAAAAACTATTTTAAATTGGAAAGTTGTATGCTATGTGAATTATATTTCAATAAAATTAGTATTTTATAAAAGGAAAAGAATTGCCAATTACAGATGGTGGGTTTTCATTATCTCTCTGATTTTGGGGTCATATTATGACAATAAAGAAATAATTCAGGAAACACTGACATACAGTAAATATCTGCTAAATGCAGTACCTAACAACCATGAACAACTACAAAAAATTCATCATAGACTTAAGTAAATATCTAAAAATCCATACAAGCTCATAGTAATAATAGTAAAGATGAAAGGGAAGGGAATGAATGCAGTCAAAGTTGCAAAACAAAGAAAAGTAAGGTGAGAAGGAAAGGAGGAGTGTGAGATAAGAGATCCTATTAAGGAGTAGAAGAAAGTTAACAGAGTTATATAAAAGCAACAGAAAGAAAAAAAACAAACAGTAGAGTAAAATAAAGATAAAGTAAGAAGAACACAAAAATTGAAAGAAAAGAGGAAAACCCTATATCCTCCCAAAATCAATGAAAAAGAAATAATGAGTCTAAAATAATTCCTCCGTGATTTCCTTCCGAGGCCTGCAGGATCAAGTCTACCAGATATGAGGGAAGGATATTATATAATGCTGAGACCTCTATTTTGTTCCCAAGCTCACATTTCTGTGCGTCAATGCTAAACCCTGCCCCACCATTCCCACTGGGTTTGGTCATCAGAGTTTCTTCCCTAAGGCTTTTGCCACTCTGGCAGAACCCAGTGACCCTGTTCCTCTGTGAGCAAAAAGTCACAACTCTCTCTGCCTCACTCTTTGACCTGTGGCTTGGTGAGACACCAACCTTGTTCCAGAGGCCCACATACATCCCAGCATGTGGCAACTCTAAAGGCCAAGGTGTATTCCTGCTCATGCTGGCAGATGGAAAAGCAGTCGGCCCCTGATTTCTGTGCTGGCTGCAAGCAGCTGGGCAGGAGGAGTCATGCAGACCACCAGACTGAGCCAGCAACTTCAGACCCAGCCCTCTGGAAGCCACTCATGATCGGCCTGGCTTCTCAACATGTAGGGGCACCCACGTCCTTTTTGGACTAAGAAACTTTTCGAGGGAGTCCGTGTCCAGCCCATGCTGTCTCCATGTGTTTGTCCCCCACCCAGGCACTACAGTAAGTCGGCACCAGGAACACTGAAGGGAAGATGTGCTGTAGCTCAGTCTTAACCCCTTCTCAAAATGTCATCTGATTAAACCTTCTCAAACATGGAAGGTGCTGGACTGGATCTCTTCTCCATTTCGAACCTACTGTGCAGAAGTTACTTTCAGCGTAGAACCCCAAGCTGTTTTGCAGCTTACAATTTGCAAAGGATGTGGGCTTTTCCTGAGGCCATCACTGCTGTCCCAATCTGTTGTTTCTCCCTGGAGCTGCTGACACTCTCAGGGCTTAACTTGTGTCAGCAGAGGCAGAGGGCTCTCTCTGGAGCTGGGGAGAGGTTTCCAGACTATTGCATTCCTTTCCCCGCTTTGAGCTCCATTCATCATTTTTCTGTAGTTTCTGGGTTATCTGTCAGTTCCCCCACGTTTCCCAGAGATCTAATTCTTTTTTTCCTCTTCACCAAATTGTCTCAATTCTAGGACCCACAGAGATGGTATTTTTCTGCTTCTCCCTCCTCTACCTTTGAGATCATTCTGCTAAACACAGCACAGGCTTGAGTCTTGGCATGTTGCTAGACTCACTCTCCATTTACTCTGGGCAGCTTTGAGCACCCTGGGGATGTGGTACTGGGGGCAGCGTCTCCATCTCTCACTGTAGGATCTTGCCCGCTGGACCTCAGGATAAGCAGAGTCTCTGGCTCTACAAAGCCACGGAGGGTAGATCCCAGAATGTTGCCCTGTGGCTGATTCTCCCACAATTCCTGATACTCAGGGACCCTTTCTGTGCACTTCCCTCCAACTGGGCTTGTGCTCTATGACAATGTCTGTCCGAGTTCACAGGCCCCAGGCTCAGATGCTGATTCTGGTCTCTCTCTACCCTTGGTGCTAAGAACAGAACCAGGTGAGAGGTGGGTGGTTTCGTTGACCGATTAAATGTGAGTTAATACATCTCTTCATAAGCTGTGGTCAGGGCTCCTCACTGACTCTTTTATTTTTGCTGGTTTCTGTCCTGCTGATGCCAATGCAATGCTTTCAATCTTCTTACGTCAACAATGTGTATTCGGTTTTGTTGAAAAGTTGCCAAAATAGCCTCAGCTCTTTCCTTTGCAATGGGAAATTCAAGAGGCTTCCACTATTCCCCTGTGTCTCTCACTGGTATTTTTAGGTGTGCCACAAACCTGCTGAAAACTGAATCCAGGGATGTATACTGAGCTATAATCACAGCAACCTCACCTACCTGTAGATTCAGAGACAGGCTATGTGCATGTCGCTAAGCAAAGTGCTGGGATTACAGGCATTCGTTCATCAGTACACCCAGATTCATGTTATTTTTCAAAACATAAATCATTGCATCTCTGTGTGGAGTACAACACGATATATATTCTGTTCTGTACATGAGCATATATATTCAACATACATAACAGGGTGCTTAAATCAGGCTGATCGATGAATCCACCATGTCACCTGTGGCCACATGCATGCCAGTGAGAAGCCCACCATGACCCCAGTAGACTTCCTGCTCGCAGGAAGTGGAAGGTCTGTCCCCAAGCCCTTTTGTCTGGGCTGTGGCATGGCCATTCTCCTGCCGTGTCCTGCTCAGTGCCCCCTCCTCTCCCTGACCCATATCACAACTGGCTCTTGTTGCTGTCCAGGGCCCCCAGTGTCCAATCCCTGCACTTCTGCTACTCCCTAGGAAAGGGCGTCTGCTCTGTGGGGCTGCCCAGAGGATGCAGTCTGAGGTGAGGTCGGGGGATCAGACTCACCCTGGACTTTGCGGCTCTGTGCCCTCTCTCTCTGGAGGATTCTTGGACACTGGGCTTTACAGGGACCAAAAGTCCAAAGGATGCGGGGGCTGACAGTCTCTGGAGGGTGGCATGAATACGGCTTAGATGAAGGCAGACAGGTTCATGGGAAACAGGGGACGTCTGGGTGCAGACTGAGACACTGCAGCAGATGGGGCACTTGCCAAGCACATCTGTGTGTATGTGTGTGGAAGCCTCTTGAACAGGACAGGAGGGAGACTTTCATTCACCAAAGGCTGTTGTTCCTAGGGACTGGGAACAGCACAGGGGGGACAGGGAGATGGGACATCAGAGTCAGAGAGGCTCGGTCTTCCTGGAGCCCCACCTGCTCACCCAGGTGAGGGAGGGCCCACTCCTGAGCCAGGCACATGTCCTGCTGGGCAGCTCACCCAGGAACTGCTCGGTGCCAGGACTCCAGTGTCAGCTCCCTGTGAGCACCCATTGGGCAAGAGTTCACTTAGATCAGGGAACGCTGCCAAGAGAGGCAGCTCATGAGTTTCCAGGATGGAAACGGCACAGTCGGGAAGAGAGGTGGGGGTTTTATGAGGGCTGGGGTGGAACAAATTCGGGGCAGCAAACATGATTAGCTAAAGGATGTTTTTCCACGATCACTTAGCACCTTGCAGGTCTCCCAGCAGCACCTGTGCTGTTTAAATCATGCTTCCAGTTGCAATTCCAATAAGGCCACTCTGCTCTGGCTCACAGAAGGCCTTCAGCTTTAGATGAGAAGGACAAGGACATCTGTGCATGTCTTCTAGAGAACATGGGCTATACTCCTTAGAGAAATGGCTGGGCCCCACATCAAAGTTGTGTTGCTGTCTGAGGTTGCTACCAAGAGCAGGAAGGCCCTGCCTGCAGCTTGTCTGTTCAGGGTTTGTATCCTTTTCCTCGCCAGTGAGTAGCTACTGTCACTCAGGCCATAGCTACCGGCCACACAGCACCCAGAGCCAGCCCCATGGGCCCAGCACAGCTGGGAGCAAAGGCCCCAGGCATGCCGTCCACTCACTCAGGGTTGACTGGGGGCCTAGGGAGTGGTAGGGGCTCCACCCAGCAAGAGAAGATGCTACCTGAGGCTGCCCAAGGGAGTGTGTGCAGGGTTGGTCCCAGGACAGCACCAGCAGCACAGGGCTGAGCTGGATGATGGTAGATGGCAGGGACAGAGAGGCCACATCAGATGGTCACCCTCCCTTCAGGATCCTGGGTACCCCCTGCTTCTTTGCCTTGGCTGCTCATACCCATAGAATGGTACATAAGCAGCAACCATAGAACAGCCCCTCAGGGAGGGTCACAAACATGCCAAAGATAAGCCAGAGGCTGCTACAGGGCCTTTGCACACCTGCGGTTCCCATCCAGCTCCTATGAATTACTATGCAAGTCATCCTCACCTTGCTGAACACCTAGCACTGAACACATCTTTACCCTTGACTTAGCTCAACACCCACCTCCACCTCACTCCATGTGACAGAGCACACAGCCACTGAGAAGCTGAGAGGACTCTGGCATTCACAGAGTAGCCATCGAGGAAGCAGAACCTCAAGCACGCATGGGTACTCCACCCGGAAAAAACTGGACTTTGACATTTTAATTCACTGACACAGAAACAGCTGCATGTTGGCCATACTACAGTACAGTGTGGTAGTGGCCGCCTGTGCCCTGGGTGTCACCTCTGCTGTCCTCTCTACCCTTTCTGCCATGCCCAGCCTGGGGATGTGGCCACGAGCCAGGGGCCTGAAGGAGAGACTCAATGCACAGGAAAGGGCAAAGGGGAAGGAAATAGCAGGCACTGTGCTTTCTCCAAACTCCCTACAGTGACCTGTGACTGAGGAAAACATTAAAAAGCCACAAACACGAACAGGCTGCTGTGTTTTGTAAACATCTGACCTCTGTGGAGATCCACGGTTGGGAGCATGCACAGGCCGAGCCTTTCAGAAAGGCTTGGTGGCAGCTTGTATTAGCAAGGATGTTCTGGGAGCACACACTGCTTTCAGGCAGAAGCTAGAGGACATGAGGAGTGCCACTCAGAAGAGCACACGGGGAATTCGCAAAGTGAAACGTGCCACACAGAGGCAGAGAAACCAAACTACTTACAAAGTCCAAGGGATACTCGGCAGAAAGGCCGTGGAGGGTGTTAGAAGGGGATTGCTGTGACAAACCCCACGTGGCTCCTGACACTCCTCTGCAGCCGCGATGGAAAGAGGGACAGTGAGCTAAGGTCTTGGTTTTTAGTCCACGTCTGCAGTGCACGATTGCACTCATCCCTGAGTCGGTACCTGCAGGGCACAGGTCCTGCATCTGGAAGTGCTAACTCTGGGAAGTCCATGGTGAGACACTTTTCCTGCACATACTTATATTTACATCTTCAACAGACACAGGTAGGATAGGCTTCTAACGCGCGGCCCCTGGAGGCCAAGACCTGGCCTTGGGTGACCGCACTCAGCTCAGCCCCCGACGGGGCGAACTAACACGGGCCGAAAGAAGACGGCGTGGGAACCAAGGCCGCATCAGATTGGTCCTACCTTAGTAACTGCTTGGTCACCACTGGTCCTCTCCAGGGCGTTCCCGCTTCAAGACACAGACAACAAGGGCCTAGCCCCCGAGCCGCCATGGCTGGCCACCCGCGCAAGGGGCTCTGGGAGTTGTGGCATGCAGGGGCCCGAGGGCTGTTGGGAGATGAGGACAGCGCAGGGCGCTAGGACTCTAGGAGTGAGGTCGAAGAGACCCTTGGAGAACCGCAAGTTGCAGCCCGTAGATTTTGGAGGGACGCTGGGAGTTGTGGCCTCCATTCACTCTGCCCGTGCTGGGAGCTGTGGTCGCCCACCCTAAAGGAAGCGGCAGCCCCACGGAGTCATGACCGTGGTAGTTGGGTTCCGGGTGGGTATCTTCACTAAAACGTGCACGACCAGTTCATATAAATAATTTTTATTATGCGATGTTTAATATGTGTGTAATATATATACGTGGAGAATTGAGTTGCCACGTTTAGCAAATAAAAATACGGGAGAATTCTTAGCTAAATATGAATTTCAGATAAGTAATGGATCCTTTCAGGTGTAAATATGTCACAGTAGTATATCTGAAGTATTCTTTTACTAAGTACCATATTAAGTGCTAATAGTACATCTTATTTTAATTATGTCTCAAGATATATTTGGACCATAGTTACACTTAATTCTAGCACCAAACCTTTTTGAAATGACTAATATTGTATCATAGTGTTAGTGTATTGTAAAAGTATACATGGGCATGCATTTTAAATGTTTATTTTTAAAACGACTTCAGAACTGGTGTGAGAAAGGGATTCAGAAGGACAGGACAGCCCAGGACAGGGCAGGGTGGGCTGCTGTGGGGCCCGAGGAGTGGAGGCCGGGCCTAAGGTGACAGCACCAGGACGCCCTGGGCAGCTGTGTGCTGAGCGCCCATGTGTCTGTCTTAGCAACCCAAGAGAGAGCAGGTCAGCAGTCAAGGCCTGGAGGAGCCACCATGAGTGGCAGCACACGTGAGTTGGAAGAAATCAACATGGTCTGGTAACAGAGTCCCAGGAGTAGAGGAGGCCACCTGCACTGGGGCCCAGCTGTGCCTCTTTCACCTGAGGGCTGCCGGCCCAGGAGGGCTGTGTGTCAGCACTACCTGTGTGCGGAAGCCCCTGGGACGAGTCGGTGCCCAGGGCTATTATTCTCCTTGTCAGCCAGGCCCTGCCGTGGGCGGTCTCCTGTGTCCTCTTCTCAGGAGTGGAATCGGCCTGGCCCTTGGGGCAGTGGTGGCTCACTGTGCATTTATAACTAACTCTCTGACCCCTCGGGAAGCAGCCATGGAGACCATCTGACTTAGCGCTGCAATGATGAGGGACAGCTGTGACCTCTCAGGACACCTGGCCCCTGCAGCCACGTGGGAGCAGCCTGGAGACGGGCGGAGGTTTCCAAACGTATTGTAAAAACAGCAACCTTGTTCTCAATGAAATCTAACTGAAAACCCAGTTTCCAAACTAAATGAGGTCAAGGCACAACTGCTGTGGTGGTCAAGGCCAGAAGGGCAGGAAATGGGGTTCCTTTGTGGGACAATGACAGTACCGGGATGAGGTCCTGAGGGTCGTGTAAGCCTGGTCTTGAGAGCTGCACACCTCTGTGTGGGTCCAGCCCAGAGGCTGGGGCTTCTGACTCAGCACAGGCCAGGAGTCTGGGTTCCCTGGGGCCCTGGACCCACTCGGGTCTGGTTCTCCCCCTTACCCACTGCTGGGTGATGTCTGAAGATGTTTGTTCTGAGACCACAGATGGTGTTTGCATCCCCACTGGTGGAGGCTGAGATCCTGCTAAATTCTCAAGATGCTTGGTGTTTATAGTTCAGTGCTTTGGTGCACAGTTGACCTTGCACGTCATGGTGTGACCTGGCCAGGACTGTGTGTCCGCTCACATCTGCAGTGGCGATGGCATTGAATAACTTCCTTCCTACTCAGAGACATGGCTGCAGCTCCTGGGCCGGGAGCCTGATCTAGCTCTGTCCTGGATGCTCACAGCCCAGCCTCTCATGGGACCAGGCATCACTGACCCGGAGCCCTGCATCCCTACTTTGTTATTTCTGGGACTCTCATGGGGCCCCGGGCCACCTGCAGCTCTGGGGAGAGCTCGTCTCCAGACTCTGCACAGCCACCCTTGAGAGCCAGCATAGCTGTGGGCGTGTGGGTCCTCCATGGAGCTGGACCACCTCACTCCCAGAGGTCTGCAGGAGGCACCCAGAACTTTGGGCTTTCAGAGGGTGAGGGAGCCAGGGAAGGAAGGGGTTTAGTGCCCCAGGTGAGGGGTGTCTCTATAAGAGCCCAGCCCCTTCCCACATACGTGAGGTTGCCCATCATAGGGTGCAGTGGGAGAGTGCTCTGCGTGCAGCTGGTGGAGGATGAGGCCATGTGCCCTGCTTGCCATGCTGGCATGTGCTCTCTTGGTATCGTCTGTGCCCATGGGCTGGCGGCTGCCAGGCAGCAGCCCCAGATTTGAGCGCCCTGGGGATGTGGTGCTTGGCGGCAGCTTCTCCATTCTGCAGTTCCACGGTGTTGTCCGACTGGACTTCAGGTCTCTGCCAGCAGGGCTGCCGTCCTCACGGTGAGTGGGGCCCTGGATGCCCAGTGCAGTCGTGGAGTTGATCCCAGAGCCAGGGCTCTGCCAGGTCCTCTCATCGCCTCTGATGTTGCATCATTCGCTGGCGTGGTCTTCATAGCTGTCTGAGCTGATGGGTCCAGGCTTGGGCACTGATTCTTGTCTCTTTCCACCTCTGGTGCTGAGAATGGTGCCCGGTGAGAGGTAGGTGTTTCCCTTACTGAATAAACGTGGGTCACTGCACCTCTTTCTGAGCTGCGGCCAGGGCTTCTCTTTGCCTGTTTTCCCTTTGTCCATTTCTGTGCCGTGCGTCTGTGCGTCTGAATGGCTGTTTTTTTGTGAACAATGTGTGTGTGTTTAACTCTGCTAAAGTGTTGCCCAAATCACCACAGCATTCCCACTGAAAACAGTGAGATTTGCACTGTTCCACTATGACCATCACTGGTACTCTACGGTACCCCACGCCCCCAAGATTGAATCCAGGGATTCGCTCTGAGCTACAATCACAAAAATCTCCTTACATATGCAAATCTGGCACAGGTTGTCTCTAAGCCATTAAGTTGCCCACAATGGGCTGGAACCTGCGACCCTCTTACCTCAGCCACAGGGAGTGCTGGTATTGCACACGTGCACTATTTAAAATACACACCAATGCTCACGCAGTGCAGTCGCCCGTGCTGTGCCTCCCGCCCTCTCCACGACACTCTGTCCCTGTTTCCACTGTTCCCGTCTCCCACCCCTGTGCATCTTCTGAATGAAGCTGCCAAGCGCGTTTGCGCACAGGCTTCACGAGGAAGTATGCTGTCACCTGGCCCGCGTGTGCCGTGCACACAGGCGTCACTGACTGTGCCCCGCCCCATCTGCCCTCCGCCCACTGTGACCTTGGGCTTCTCTCCTCAGCGTGTCCAGATGGGGCTACCGGGTGGCCCAGTGCTTCGTCTTTGCTGTCGAGGAGATCAACAGGAACCCTCACCTGCTGCCCAACCTGACTCTGGGCTTCTCCATCCGCAACTCCGGGGACTCAGTTCATGGGGCCCTGCATGAGACCATGTCCTTCCTCACCGGGCAGGAGGACCCCGTCCCCAACTATGTGTGCCAGTCTGGTCCACCCCGGGCCGCCTTGGTGGGGGACACGCGATCGGCCCTGTCTGTGGCCATGGCCAGGCTCCTGGGGCTCTACAAATTTCCCCAGGTGAGTCCTCCCCAGCCCTGTCGCTTTGGAACCAGGGAGGATGGCAGCGAAGCTGAGGGGATGGTGGCACTGAGCCTCTCTGCTGAGGACAGGTCCCTGCTGTCACCTTCCAGCAACTCTGCTCTCCTCCACAGAACCTTGTTGTGGGAGAACTCGGGTCCCACCGCGTGGGTGAACAGAAGGGCTTGGATTCAACTCAGTGACTGTCCCAGCTCACCCAGCCAGGAGGCGCTGGTGCTGGGGTTCGAATCCAGGCAACTGGCTCAGGCCACCAGCTTCACCTCTGCTCCACGGTGTTGCTGAATTGCAAGCCCCCGATGTCATTCCCAAGACGGTGGCCGTGTCAGGCTGCACGTGTTCTTTGCAGCTCTTATTTTTAAGAGGGCAATTGAGATGTAATTTGCATGGCATAAATTCACCATTGAAGTGAGCAGTTTGGTGGCTTTTAGCGTGATCAGTGTGGCAACCATGGCCACCATCAATGTGAACATTTTCCTCACCCTGCTAAGAAACCCCAAACCCAGAAGCTACCACACTGTACCTCCTACCCGCAAAACCACTCATCTATCCATCTCTGTGGCTCTGCCTTTGTGGACATTTCCCAGGACAGAAGCAGCTCGTGTGTGGTCTGGGACTGGCATCGTTCCCGGGCAGCATGACAGGTCAGCTACACTGTGGCCAGTGTCAGAGCCTCACTCCTTTTTAGTGACAGTGCGTATTCCCTGTGCACGGACCTCGTTTCGTTCACCCGCTCAGCTGTCCGAGGGCGTTTCAACTGTTTTTGCTTTGGCTCCTTTGGATCCTGTTTCTCTGCAGGTTCACATACAGGTTTAATTCTCTTGAGTTTGGGGTAGAGTCACTGGCCCCAGTGTCACTATTTTGAAGCAGGACAGTGTATTCCCTGCGCCCTGTCACATTCCCATTAGCCGTGTACAAGGAGGCTTTGAAATCCGCCTGGACCGACTGTGAAGCCTGTGAGCCTGAGTGAGTCCCGCTGTCCTTGCTGCCTGCTGTGAGGAAGCCTCCTGTGCAGTGGGACCCTAAGGTGACAGGACCGGGTGCAAGGTGTTTCCAGGGAGGCTATGCGGGTTGGTACCAGGGAAGCCCAGGGCTCCTGCTGTTCCGGACTCGTCCACCAGGGGCCTCCAGGCTGGGTCCCTCCTGATGAGGCGGGCAGACAGCGCTCCTGGAAAGTTTCCAGATGTTCACGTTGCTATTCCACGCGTTTGACCCCAGATTATCAGTGCAGGCTCGTTGGTCCAAGGATTCACTCTGATCCTCTCAGCTTAGAGTTCTGATAATATGTTCTCCGCTGCAGTTTTCTGTTAGGTGGGTTTTTTCCTTTTTTTTCAAATTTAAGCATATTTAAAGACTTAGATATGTTTTTTGTTAACTATACATCAAGAAAATCATTTTACATGTTGAAGATTGGTCAGAAAAAACACAGGAAATTCAAATAAATTTGGATTTCAAACAAGCTAGGAACAAAGCTCTGCTAATATCAAGTACTCGTTGTTCATGTGAAATCCACATGTCACTGCTTATCCAATATTTTTATTTGCAAATCTGGCAGCCCTGTCTGTATGAGATCAAGTCATTGTCAGCTATCTGTAGGCCCCAGGAATCCAACTTCTACAGGTATAGGCTAGAGTGCAGCCTCTATGTTTCCTACTAAATCCCTGCTCTCTGGCAGGAGGAGAGGGTTTGTACACAGGTAAAGACATCCATGCAGACAGCCAGGGCCTGAGGAGCTCCATCCTGCTCCTCAGCCTCCATCAGGACCAAATGCGACACAGAGCTGTGCTGAGGGCTCTTCTCTCTGCTGGAAACGCGGTCTCTTCCTGACACGAAAGCAGACAAATGTGAACTGGCCCCAAACATGGTCTCCACCCCGGATGGCAACGTAGCAGCTCTGTGCAAAGCGGAGTCACCACGCAGCCTGGCTGAGAACCAGGAGCAGACAGGGGTGAGGGGGCGCTGAGAGGGCAGGTGAGGCTTAGCTGCTCCTGGCTTCCTCTCGAGCCAGCAGGGAGGACACAGAGCCAGCCCTCCTCTCCGGGCCCTCTTGGGCCCTCAAAGAATGGTGTCCAGGAGGTTTCTGGAACACTTCCTGGGAGGGGAAATCAGTGCGTGGCAGAGATTTCTCTAACTCACTAATCAGGGCCAGGAGGGGCAGGAGCTGATGATGCTGGCTCACGCATCAGTATGTTAAAAACATTATCCGGAGGATTCCATTTGAGACTAGAACTGGATTCCCAAAGGTGCTGACCGAGGCAGCTGCCGCTGCATGGGTGTTAGAGGTGCAGGCCGTGGGCCTCTCGCCCAGCTCCCCGAAGCTTCACCAGGCCCCACCAGCACTGGAGCTGCTTGGGCTCTGCGGTGTGATGGCAGCAGTGTATGTGTTTGGAATAAAGGATGGTTACCTTTGTTTTGAAGAATCCACACATTATTTATGTGTCTTCATCAGTTTTGGTTTTCTGCTCTCCTCCCTCCCCTACCCCTGGCCCCGTTTCCATTTTCCATCTCCAAAAAGTCTGCCTCTCTGCTGCTACCATCTGCTTATTTCACTCTATCATTTATTTATATCTGGATTTGTCATTTAAGAGAATGATGGGATTTTAACTTTTTGTGAGTGATGTATTTCACTTAAACAGAGACCCAGGGTCTCTAGAGATGACTCAATTCATTCTTTATGGCTAATAATTCTGCACTATGTGAACATATTGCATTTTAAAAATCCATCTGTCTGTTGATGTGCGTCTAGCTAGCTTTTGTGGTCGCTCTGTTGTGCATTGCACAGCTGTTAACATGGGTATGCATGCCTCACTACAGTATGGGGGCTCTGACTCTTCCAGAAAAATACCCAGCACAGGTATGGCTGAGCGAAATGTTATTTCTATTTTCAGTTTTTTGAGGACTCTTTGTGCTGATTTGCATAGAGATTGCACTAGTTTACATTGCCTGCATCCTTGCCAACATGTGTTGTTCTTTGAGCACTTGAGGGTAGCTCCTCTTTCTGGAGTAAGGTGGAATCTTACTGCTGATTTGCATTTCCTTAATGGTAAAAGATGCTGAATATTTCCCCGTGTCCTTCTGGGCCACTTGTATTGCTTCTTTCGAGAAATGTCTACTCATTTCTTGATTGTATGAAGCTGGGAAATTTTTCCTCACACTTTTAAAATAGTCTCTTCATTCTTTTATTTCCTTTGATGTGCAGAAGCTCTTAAAATTAGTGTAGTCACTTTGATGATTCTTGGTAATATTTCTTGAAACATTGGAGTTTTGCCTGTACCTATAGCTACAAGTGTTTCCCTATTTTAGCTTCCAGCAGTTTCAGTTTTTCTGTTTTTATTTCTCGATCCTTGATCCACTTTGATTTGATTTTAGTACAAACTGAGAGATGTGGGCCTGGTTTCGTGCTTCTTTGTGTTTCTTATCAGTCTTCTTTATTTAGTTTTTTTAACCATTTGTTAAAGAGGTTATCTTTTCTCCAGTGTATTTTTCAGTCCCTTTATTAAAGATCAGATGGCTGAATAATCCTGGAGTTGTTTGTCTCCTCTATTCTTTTGGTCTATGTGTCTGTTTTTATGCATGAACCATGTTGTTTTTCTTACTATATCTTCATTGTATAACTTGAAATATGGATTATAATTTCTCATGCTTTGCTTTTTGCTAAGGATTCCTCTGACATTCTGGGTCTCTTCTGATTCTATACCAAAAAAATTTTGTTGGTACGTATTTATAGTACATTATGATTACATTCATCATGGAGAGTTGACATGTACGTGACATTTCTCAATTTTGTTTTGCATCCCTCCCTTCTCCCTCCCTGTAGCCTTGGACCCCTTCGTTTGTATATATTTTTCCTTTTTTTAGGTACACGTTTGTAATAGACGATGATCACATTCCTCATAGGGACTTGGTAAATGTACACAGCATTTCAAAATACTCTGTTTTTTTATTAATCTTTTTTCCTCCACTTCCAGTTCCCTTCCTCTGTCTTGCACTGCCCTTCCCATGTGCAAAAGATCCATCTTGCTATTTCCTGCTGTCTGTCCTTTGTTTTGCGCTTTATTTGTACGTTGGGATTCTCACATAAGAGAAACCACTCTATTTTTAACTCATGTGTCCAGTTTATTTCACTTAGCATTGTGTTCTCAAGGTGCATTAGGATTGTATTTTCTAGCTCTTTGAAGAATGTTGTTGGTATTTTGATAGGATTTGCATGACATGTATGTATCACTTCTGGTGATAGGTCTATTTTAAAATATTGATTGTGCCTATCTAAGATTAGGAGCTGACTTTCCATTTACTAACGTGTTCTTCCATTTATTTCTTCAGAATGCTATAGTTTCTATTACAGAGGTCTTCCACTTCCTTTGTTACTTTTATTTCTAGGTACATTATTTAACTTTTGTAGTTACTATGAATGCAGTCATTTTCCTGGTTTCGGTCACTGCAGGTTCATTGTTAGTGAACAAAAATTCGATTAATCTTTGTTAATTTTTAATTTATAAAAATTGACTTTGTACCCTGCCACTTGGGTGAATTGCCTTATCATGTATCTCTAATAAGAGTTTTCTGGGGGCACTTTTGGGTTCTTTGTGTAGAGGATCGTGTCATCTTCAAATAAAGGTAATGTGGCTCCTTTCTCTCCCGTTGATACCTCTTTTGTTTCTCTCATCTTCCCTTGCAGCTTCTCTAAAATTTTAGTACTGTATTGTACAGGACTGCTGAGTGTGGAAACTCTTGTGGTGTTTCTGATTTTAGGGAAATGCTTTCAGTTTCCCCAGTCAGTGTGAGGTTGGCTGTGAGCTTGTCACAATGACTTCTATCAGTTTGAGGTGATGTCTTTCTATACTGACTTTCATCAGATTTTTTTTTTTATCCCAAAAGGATGTTGGATCTTTTTTTTTCTGCATCAATTCAGATGGCCAAGTGATTTTTATCTTTAATTACATTTATGTGGTATATTATATTTCTTGATTTACATATGATGAACCATATTTGGATAACTGGGATGAAGCTGACTTGGTCATGATGTAAATTTTTTTTTAATTTTTGAGACAGAATTTCACTAAGTAGTTCAGGCTGTCTTGAACTCACTGTATACCCCAGCCCTGAAATCATGGTCAACCTCCTGCATCAGCTGCCTGAGTACTGGGACTGGAGGTGTGTACCGCCACATCTGGCTTGACCTATGACCTTTCTTTTTTTTTTAGCAAAACATTTATTGGTACATTTTAGACAGACATAGTGATAACATTGATCATGGGGAATTTGTACCAGTACATGATATATCTTGCTGCTTCTTTTTTCCCCATATCCCCCCATGTACAAAAATTTTGTTTCCATTTTTCCTTCAATTTTCTCTTTTTTTCCTTGTCCATTCTATCCTTTCTTCCTCCATCCTCCCTTGTTCCCTTTCTCATTTGAACATTTTCTTCCAATTTCCTAATGTCTGTTGTACAATTTATTCCTTATTCCCACTTTAGGTTTCTCACACAAGAGAAACAATGCAGCATTTAAATATGTGTGTCTGACTTATTTCGCTTAAAAGTATAATCTCAAGGTGCATCCATTTGGCTATAAATGTCTCAAACTCATCCTTCTTTACGGCAGCGTAGTTCTCCATCCTATAAAAACAAAAACACCTTCTTTATCCATTCGTCGATTGATGGGCATTTGGGCTGTTTCCAGGAGTGAGCTACTGCACATCCTGCCACTATAAACGTAGGCATGCATGTGACCTATGTATGACCCTTTTGTGAGTATTTTTGCATCTGTTTTTGTCAAGAATAGTTTACCAGGGACCATAGTTTTTTGTTTGTTTGTTTGTTTTTTGCACACCACCGAAACCCTGAGCTAAATCCCCGGCCCCAACCATAGTTTTTTCTGTTGTGTGCGTTGTGAAGTTTTTTGTGTCTCAGAGTGATGCTGGTTTTATGGAGTGAGCATGGCGGTGTTCATTCCCCTTCAATTTCTGTGGAAGAGTTTGAGGAGCACTGATATTAATTCTACTCTGAAGTCCTGGTAAAGTCATGGTGAGTCCATTTGGTCCTGGCTTTTCTTAGCTGTAGAATTTTTAGCACTACATAAAGTTTGTTGCCTCTTATTGGTGTGTTCAGGATTTTTCTATCTTATTGGTTGAATTTGGTAGTCATTTGTGTCTAGAAATCTGACCCTTTCTTTCAGATTCTCCAACGTATTGGAATATAATTTTTTAAAACAGTTTTATATAATCTATATTTCAGTGGTGACTGTGAGGGCTTTTCCTTTTTGTTTCTAATTGCGTTGATAAAAGCTATTGCTTCTTTTGGTAAATTTGGCGAAAGGCTTATTGATCTTGTTTATTCATTCAAAGAACCAACTCTTTCATTCATTAATCCCTTGTATTTTTGTTGTTGCTGCTGCTGCTGCTGCTGCTGTTTTGGTACAGGGTGTTGCTATGTAGTTCAGGCAAGGCAAGGCAAGGCAATCCTCCTGCCTCAGCCTCCCAAGTGCTATGATTAAAGACATGCACCACCGTGCCCTACTGTCACTTGTGCTTTTTAATCTCAATTTTGTTGATTACCACTCTGATCTTTATAATGTCATTCCTTCTACAATTTTGGCTATGAGTTGTTCTTGTTTAATAAAACCCTAAGATATATCATTATTTAATTTATTCTAGGCATTTTTTTTTCTAAAATAGGCACCTCAGCTCAAAACTTCTCTTAGAATTGCTTTTGTTTTATCCCAGAGGTTCTGGTATATTTTATTTATATTGTCATTTGGTTCCAGGAATTTTAAATTTTTTCCCCTGAATTCTTCTGTGACCCATTGATTTTTCAAGACTGTAATATTTAGTCTCTATGTGTTTTGTATTTTGTTGGTAGCTTTTGTTCTTGATTCCTAGTTGTATTTCATTATGATCTGATAAGAGGCAAGAGATTATTTTAGTTCTCTTTGTACTTATTTAGATATGCTATATGATCTATTTTGGAGAATGTTCTGTTGGCTGTTGAGAAGAATGTATATTCTTCAGTTGTTTGATGAATCACTCCCTAGGTGTCTGTTAAATTCATTAACTCAAAAGTGTGGTTCAACTCTAATATTTCTCTGTTGATTTTTCTGTTTGACTTATCTATTTGTGAGTGGGGGCATTGAAGTCCCTCATTATGATTGTAATAGTGTCTATCTGTCCTTGTTTGTCAAGTTTTTCCTTTATTAAATTGGATGGGCAGGCATTCATTGCATATCTATTTACAATTTTAATCTCATGCTGCAATTGTTCCTTTTGAAAATATTTAATGACTTCTTGTCCATTGTGATCAGTTTTATTTTGAATATTGGAGTAGCTACTCCTATTTGCTTTGGGCTGAGGCTGCAGAGAAAACAGTGTTCCATCCTTTCACCTCTAGTCTAGGTGTACCTCTGTAGATGAGGTGTGTCTCTTTCAGACAACGTAATGTTGGGTTTTGGGTTGTGATTCAAACTGCTTATCTGTGTCTTGCCTTCATGTTTCTTAAAGGAGGAATTATGCCCCAGCTCTGATCAGGCCTGGATGACCAACTGCTTTGCTGCCCAGGACTGAAGATGAGCATGGGACATAATTCTTAGAGGGACAAATCTGGGAGGATGTCCAGGCCGCCTGGTGAGCTGCTCCCTCCCCCATCCTCACTGCATTTGCATCCTGAGTTCAGACCTATGCCAAGCCTTTTGCTAAGCCTGGTCCTCTCTCTTGTGCCCTGCTCTTCCCCACAGGTCAGTTACTCATCCACACTGCCCAGCCTCAGTGATAAGACCCAGTTCCCATCCTTCCTGCGAACCCGGATCAGTGACTTCATGTCTTCCCGTGCTGTGACCCAGCTGGTGCTGCACTTGGGATGCTCCTGGGTCATCATCCTGGCCCAAGATGATGACTTTGGGCAGCAGGCCAGTGCCCTAGCTGCTAGGGAGCTGGAAGAGGCAGACATCTGCATCGAATTCCACCTCCCAGTCCCTTCCCAGCATTCCCCTGAGAAGATCAGCACTGTGGTGCAGAAGATGCTGACCAGCACTGCCACGGGGGTCTTGGTCTTCCTCAGCAACTGCAATTTCATGCTCATCCTGCAGAGACTCCTGGGTGTCCATCTCCTGGGCCAGGTCTGGGTCAGTGAGGGCCTCCTGCACACGGCCCTTGCCCTGGCCATGCCTGGCATCTCTCAGGTCCTGCAGGGTGCATTTGGCCTTCTGTGCCATGGCAGTAGGGTACGTGGGTTCCCTGAGTTCTTTGCCAACTTACACCCTACCCGGACCCCAGAGGACATGTTCCTGGGGAGGTTCTGGGAGGCCACCTTTGGGTGCAGATGGCCACACAGGAACAGCACAGTGGCAGGGGATATATGGCTCTGCTCAGGCCGTGAGAGTCTAAGAGGCCATGAGCATCCTTTCCAGAGTGTGAGTGAAATGGACATTGCGTACACGGCTGTGTACAGTGTCACCCATGCCCTGCAGGACCTGCTCTCCTGTGAAGGTGGGGATGGAGTGTGCACAGACCTCCAGCACTTCCAGCCCTGGCAGGTGAGTGGGGTCACAGGGAAGAGAGGAGACTGGATGTTTTATGTGCAGCTGCGAAGGTCCCCAGTTCTAGTGCTCATCTGTGAAGATGCTTGTGCCTGGAGACCAGAAGCATTGGAGGAGCACTGGGCCCTTAGTCCTGAGGCCAGGCTGGTTGTGTGACAGTGGGTGGGTACTCAATTTAGTAAATAATGCCTGGTAAAATTCAAATTACAGATCTACAGGGAATAGATTTTTTTGGTTGTATTTTCAAAATTTTACTTTTGGTAACAAGTGAATAGTGTTTAGAGTATGCACAATGTAAACTTTAGTAATAGATAACTGCACATACCATTTATTATAAAGGACCCAAATATTTAATGTATCACTGAATGCTTTGAATGCTCCCAAACATTGAATTTCCAAATGTTGAATGTGTTGTACTAATGAGTCTTTTTTTTTTTTCTTTTGTGGCACCTGGGATTGAACCCTGGAATGCTCTACCCCTGAATTTCATTTCCAAATATTTTTACTGTTTATTTTCTCACAGGAGCTCCATGTATTACCAAGGCTAGACTGGAATTTGAAATCCTCCTCGCTCAGCTTCTTTCAGTGCTGGCTTCACAGGCACACATCACGACATCCAGATAAGAGTCATTTTAAAAAATCTGAAATTCAGTGAACAAAGATTTCTGTGTTTCATTTGCTAAAAATAAGTTTTAGAACAACTGGGTTTCAAATATGGGGGGAGATATGCTTTTATTAAAAAGTCTTTTTTATGGTACTATAGATCAAACCCAGGGATATCTTACTAATGATCTAGTTCCACAATACAATTTTTGTTTTATTTTGAGAAAGGGTCTGATTAAGTCTCCGGGCCTTATTTTCCTACCTGCGCTCAGCTATTCTCCTGACCAGTTCCCCTCTGCAGACCAAGGCTGTGTGCACACAGGGCTTCTCAGGCTACCACCACCTCCGTGGAATGGACAAAAGCAGTTCCTATTAAATCCCCTCTCTGTGAATGTATCATATCCTGGGGGCCATCCCTATCATGGATAACACTGTCTGGATCTTGTCCCTCCACCTTTACCAGGATTCATTTACCCAGGGCTTTACCCGTGGCTCTTTCCACCCAATGTGCCCAAGGCAGTGGCTCACTGGCCCTCGAGGCTGTCCTACCAGGAAAGCTTGCTTATACATAGGGGGCTTCCCTAATCTCTTCTACTGAACACAAACAGGGGCCCACGCATCTTTAGAAAGCAGGCTGCTGCACTGAGACAAGCAGCACAAATGTCTGTAAGGTTTGGATTTTTAACCTTCCTCCTCAGCATTTGACAGTGACTGTCACTGACCCACTGGAAACTCACGAGAGGAAAGACAGGGTGGGCACAATAGTGCATCTTCTCCACCCATCAGGCCACAGGTGAACATCCTTAGCCAGGAGTTGAGAGGACTCTCCTAGATACATGCTGTTGGCCACCAAGGGTAACGGAGGCTGAGAAAGCAAGGGAACACTGTCTTGACCTCCACTTGGATCATGGGGCTGCTACTGCTCAAGGACTAAGGACAGATGGGGCTGTGGGTGGATGGACAGTGAGGGTGCCTGCCTGTTGGGCAGGGCAGACTGAGTAGAAATCCACAAGATGTGCGATATCTGCATGCTGTGAGGTAGATGAGGTTGTGGGAGTGAGGGACGGAAGGCTGTGGCAGGATAGGAAGGTTGGCCCAGTGGGAGGACAGATCTGAGCCCACCTGGACAGTAAGTAGCCATGAGAAGAGAGCAGTGGCTCCACAGGCCCCACCTGCAGGGGAGAAGACAGGAAGAGCCACAGCTGGGCCTTGGAGGTCGGAAGACCGGGCTGGGATCAGGAGGGTGCAGCAAGACCTTCCGTGGATGTTCCACACATCAGTGTGCCCAGATGTGGAGGGAGATGGGAGGCTCAGGATGGGAAACAGCAATACCAGTGGTCCTGGGTTCTTGCCTCCACAGAACTGATAGTGAAATTTAATTAATGATTGCCTTATAGAGATATGGATTCATTATTACACATTGCTTATTATGCAATTTTCATTTTGCTTTTGCCAGAAGTTAAAGGTGGAACATTTTCTTGGGCCCCTGTACCCCATGTGCCTGATGGACGAGATGGCCTTGCCTGGAGCTCCACCTGCCACCCCAGGTGGGGCCCTGGCAAGGCTACATGTCACCCTCCTTCCCCAGCTCCTTCACCCCCTCAGAAAGGTGCGCTTCCAGACCCCCGATGGGACCCACATCATGTTCGATGCCAATGGAGATTTGGTGACAACATTTGATGTTTTCCAAGGGCAGCAGAGCCCTGAGGGCCAGTTCCACTTTGTCCACATTGGCACGGTGGACCCTCATCGCTCTCCAGGGGACAGAATGATGATCCACTTGAAGGACGGTGTCCAGGTGGGATTCCTGGCCCAACGAATGGTCTCAGGCTGGGCTCTGGATGTGGGGAAACTTGGGTCCAGGGTTCTTGCTTTTGTTGGAGCCATGAAAGGGATGTGGCTGTAAATGAGGTCGGTTGTAGCTCAGTCATTGTGTTTGGCCATAGTGGACTTTTGTGTGAGGGTGGAAAGGCATTTACTCACCATCAAATCTAAATTAACTCTCAAGCTGGGCACAGGGCTGCATACCTGTCATCCCAACACCTTGGGAAAGCGAGGCAGGAGGATTTAAAACTGAAGACCAGCCTGGGCAATTTAATGAGACCCTGACTCAAAAAAAGAAATAAAAAAAAGTCTTCCTAATGTTGCTGAATGGCAGGTTCTTGGTTCAATCTTCAGTAGAAGAAAAAGATTAAAATAAAGCCACAGTAGTGGTGTGAACAAGGTTTCTGTGAGACATTTCCCATTTCTCCACGTCTCTCTCATGGTCTGTGAGGCCCATGGAGGCCTGGGAGGTCACAGCTCTGCTCTCCACACCCATCCCACGCAGAGCAGGCCTTGTCCTGTGATGCTGTAGCGCCTGCTGTTGCTGTCAGGGTCAGGTGCTGGTGGTGCTCTCGTGCAGGACCCGTTCTTGCCCGTTTTCTGTAGAGTGTCCTGTGTCTGATCCAAAGGTATCTCCATCATAGTGGCTTCAGGATTTGCTGAGAGATAGAGCTCTGTCCTTGACTCCTTCCTTCAGGGACACAGCTGTGTGGCCAGAGGATCCCTTATTGCCTCAATGGGCGTGAGCTGAGGGCTCCTGGTCTCTCCCGGGGGCACCCAACACCCACTCCCTAGTATCCCTACTCCTCTCCCTCCTGATTCTCCTGCCTAGAAGTGGTGCCTGGAGAGAGGGAGCAGTACTGTGGCTGTTTAGGTCCCATGTGGCAAGTGGTCTCTGCCATATTGTGGGAGCGAGTGTGTGTGTGTGTGTGTGTGTGTGTGTGTGTGTGCGTGTGCGTGATGTAGGCCCATAATCTGTAGTTCCTGATATATGACCCCAGTGTGATGGAAAAGGCCAGGTGTGCAGGCTTTGCTGAGTGTTGCCTCTACATACCGGCCACGGGCACACTCTGTAGCAGGTGCTCAGTCCCTCCATGTGTGTGTTCCCTCTGCACATCATTTCTGATGGCAGAGGACGTTTCCCCTGCACTCTGCCTGTTACCGTGGGGAGGATCCCTGTCTGCTCCCTGCTGGGTCAAGTCACCCTTGCATCCCAGCAACAGGGTCTCTGCTGTCACCCTGCAAACTGTTCCCAGGTGCCTAGCTCTGTCTGCAGCACCAGCTGTGAACCGGGATCCAGTCAGATTCCCCAACAGGGAGCCCCCCACTGCTGCTTCGAGTGCCGGCCCTGCCCCGAGGGACAGTTTGCCAATCAGAAAGGTGAGTGGGGTGACTCAGGACTCAGAGGCTACACTACCTTTGTATCCCCACCCCAAGAAGGCACTGAGAAGTCCTTGTTCTCTGTGGGATTTCTGAGGAACCCTGGCCAGGAAGCAGATCTCGCATTTATTCCCAAGGAAATGTGTCCTGAAATGCACCCCGTTGAGAGGCACGGCGGCTATAGCGCTGATGAGGAACCCCCCATGCTGCCACCCCACTTCACCAAGCACAGTGAGATCCTGGTGTCTGAGGGAGGGGCTTTCCTGAGACCTCTCCTGGACTTGCAGGCGGCCACGTCTTTCTGTGTACTTCCTGGCTTACCTGGACCGCAGGCCCCTCGTCCTGTGAGGATGCCAGGCATGTTGGCTTAGGGCCACCTCAGTGATCTCACCGAACCTGAATTATCTCGAGGCCGATTTACCTACCTCCAGTACAGTCACGTTCTGAGGCCCTGGAGGTCAGGACTTCAAACATGCTTCGAGGGATACAACTCAGCACAAAACAGTAATACGGACAGTCACAGCTACTACTTGGGGAAAAATTAACCATTGAAATAAAAACAGTGGAGTCACCATGTGTGACTGTGCAGACCAGCAATCCAAACACTCTGGCTGGCGGGGCAGGAAGAGAGCACGTTTGAGCCCAGTTTAGGCAACTTAGTGACCGAGTAAGGACGCATGTCAAGATAAAACAAACAATCTGGGAATGTAGCTCAGGGTACAGATCAACTCCCACATACTGCAGAAAACAGTACAACCCAGTCCTCATAATATGTGTCCTGCAGCCCTTTTCCTAGTGCCCCTGGATCCAATGCCACGTCAAAAATGACAAAAATAATTTATAAAGACAGCAATGAAAACAAGGGGCTCCTAAGAAGGCCTGGTGGACAGGAAGTGTTCCGGAGTTGGTTTCATAAGCTGTGTGTGGCTGAAGAGGTGGTGTTGTGTCTCCCACAGACATGCAGAGCTGTCGCCAGTGTCCCGAGGAGCTGTACCCCAGCCAGACCAGAGACCGCTGCCTTCCCAGGACAGAGACCTTCCTGGCCTTTGATGAGCCCCTGGGCCTTGCGCTGACATTGGTGGTGCTGGCGCTGGCCGGCCTGGCATGCCTGGTCCTCGGGGTGTTCCTGAGGTTCCGGGACACACCCGTGGTCAGGGCCAACAACAGGGCCCTCAGCTACGTGCTCCTGGCCTCCTTGGCCCTCTGTGCCCTGTGCCCTCTGTTGTTCCTGGGTCGCCCCTCACCCACCACCTGCCTCCTCCGCCAGACCACCTTTGCCGTGGTGTTCACTGTGGCCGTGTCCTGTGTCCTCGCCAAGACGCTCACCGTGGTCCTGGCCTTCAGGGTCACTAGGCCAGGACAGAGGGTCCTCATGTGCCTGAGGCCCAGTGCCTCCTCCTCCATGGTTTTTGTCTCCTCCTTGATGCAGGTCATTCTCTGTGGGGCCTGGCTGGGCACCTCCCCACCATTCCCACAAAAGGATGCAACATCAGAGCCAGGCCACCTCGTGCTCCTGTGTCAGGAGGGCTCTGGGGTCGCCTTCTCCTGCGTGCTGGGCTACCTGGGCCTCCTGGCTGTGGGCACCTTCTCTGTGGCCTTCCTGGCCCGGGACCTGCCAGACACCTTCAACGAGACCAAGTTCCTCACCTTCAGCATGCTGCTCTTCTGCAGCGTCTGGACGGCCTTCCTTCCCCTGTACCACAGTGCACGGGGCAAGGCCACGGTAGCTGTGGAGGTCTTCTCCGTCTTGGCCTCCACGGCAGGACTGCTGGGTGGCATCTTCCTCCCCAAGTGCTACCTCATCCTGCTGAAACCTGAGAGGAACACCCTGGTCGGTCTGAGGCTGGCTCACCAGGCTCAGAGGGTTCCACGTTCTCATAGAAACACAGGCACCCCCAGGTTTCCAGCACAGTACCCTTGAGGCAGGCCTTGAAGACAGCAGCAGGGCCCCACGTCTGGTTCCTGGGTGGACTCGAGAAGGGCTGAGGAGCCAATCAGGCTTCTAGAACAGCATCTGAGCATGGTGAACAACCACCCTGCATGTGTGTACAGTCTCTGCCTGCTCTCTTGGTATGGTTGAACATTTGTACAAGTAAAAACATAGAGAAGGGAGAAAAGGTACTAATAACAGTGATAACAACGATTTGAAAGCAAATTTGGTAAGAATGTGGAAAATTGAAACCTTCCCCTGCTCTGTGGGTATGGAAAATGGCAGATCAATTCTCAGAAGATCAAACCCAGCCCTAACATGTAACCAGCAGTTCTACTCTTAGATACTCAAGAGAGATATGTATCCAGTAGCACAAATGCTTTCAGAGAAGCATTATTTGCGAGCCAAAATGTGGAATCTGTCTAAATGTCCAGGTCGCGAGTGGGTAAACAAATGTGAGCTATTCATAGTGAAATGATATTTGGCAAGAAAAAGGAATGAAGGCCTAACGTTGGCAAAATATAGAAAACCTTGAAAACATGCTGGCTGAAGGAGGCCAGAAAAGCAAGGGTACCACATGGCATAAGACTCGCGTGATTGAGGCCGTACTCTTAGGTGCGATAAATGGGACACGCATATGTAAATACCGAATAGTTTGTCTGGTGTGAGAGACTAAAAGTGCAAATGTGGTTCAAATTGTGTAATTGATAATGTGAAATAGGAAGAAATGGGCTAGAGGAGTGGGGGAAGAGGGAAGGGTAGAGGAAAGGAAAAGAAAAAATATGAGCAAAGGAAAACATGGAAACAAAGTCTTTGTAGATAGGGGAGGGTGGAGGGGGTGAAGGGAGGGCAGGGGAATGGGAAAAAAATAAAAACCAAGATACGTCATGTAAAGGTACAAGATCCCAGTGATGAATGTAACTGTACTGTATACCTGAGAAGTATCAATAAACTTAATGAAAAAAAAAAAGATTCAAGTTCTATGAAATGTCCCAGAATAGGCAAATCCATGGATCAGAATACAGAGTACTGGTTTCCTGGCACTGGGGGAGGGAGATCCAATGTTGGGGTAATAACTAAGGGTGCAGCATTTGTTTGCAGGGTAATGAATTTCTAAAATTGAATTTGGTGATTATTGCCCGATTTGATATAGATAGTAAAAAATACTAAATTGCACACGTTGAATGGATTAATTGTATGATATATGAATTATATTAAATACTTTATTAAAGCTAGTACTGGAAAAGGAACAAAAGTATCCATTACAAAGTGTGGGCTTTGATTATATCTGGGCATGTGTGGTTGAGGGACTTAAAAATGAAAGGAAGACAGTAGTACTACAAGGTACCATGTTCATGAGACTTGGAAACATTTTTCCCATAGGAATGAAATTCCTACTAGGAAGCTGTACTCTGTTATTTCCATTTCTTTGCTCTGTAGCTCAGGCTAGCCTCCAACTCAGCCTCCTGACTGCTGAGATTAAAGGTGTGCGCCACCATGCCCAGCACCACGTGGACTTCTGAGTCCTGGGTGGAATGGATGTTGGGACGCTTCCCCACATTACCCTTCTTTAGAGCACACTGCCTTACCCTTCTTATCAACCGTGTTCCTTACACTCTCATTTTCTTTCTTCTCTAGATTTTGCATATTAGGAAAGTAGGTGATATGAGATATTGTCTTCCTGAATCAAGGGTGTTTCATTTAGCGCAGTGATCTCCAGTTCCAACCATCTTCCTGCAAATGACATCATTACAGTTTGCTTTCTGGTTGAGTAATACTTTTTTATACACGTCTTATTTTCTTTATCCATTCATCCATTGGCAGGCACATTGGCTGCTTCTACATTTTGGCTACTGTGAATTGTGCTGTGATAAACATGGGTGTGCAGAGACCTTAACTTCCTCTGTGCTCTAGTTCAAAGCCAAAGAGGAGGCCAAGGGCCCCCATGAAGAACATGCCATGTGTGTGGTGAGTGTGGGAAGACCTTCAGCCGCAAAGATGCCTTGGCACAGCATGAAAGGACTCACACTGGAGAGCGGCCGTATGAGTGCAGCAGGTGTGGCAAGGGCTTCTACCCGCATTCGGCATCGGAAGGTCAACCTTGGAGAAAGGCCCTATGAGTGCAGCCAGTGTGGAAAATTGCCTCAAGGGACGCTTCCGGAGGCGTCACAGTCAATCGTGCGCAGAGAGCCCCACTGCCCCAAGGGCTAGGCCTGTGCCAACTCCCGAGAGCAGGACGCAAGGGGCCCTTACTGGCCGGGCCCAACTCACAGCAGTGAGGATCACAGCCCTGGGCACAGCCTGCATCCCCCTTGGCTTCTGCACACAACGAGTGCTGACACGCAGCCCTCCTGGGCCCCAGGCTGCAGGTGGCAGAGGCTCAGCCCGGCCCCGCAGAGGTGGCCTCTTCTCCTCCTGGAGCTCTATTCCAGGCCGTGCCAGTTTCTCCCAGGTGCTGCACTACTCCCCGCCATTGCTGCTCAAAGTGCCTCCTAGCGCCTCAGCTGCTGACCTGCTCTCCCTCTGTGTGCCCAGGATGCCTGAACGGACATGTGGAGGCTCATCACACAGCTGCCCAGGGTGCCTGGCTCTGTCCTGGGCGGCCGGGCCCGACTCCTTCCTAGTGCTCCGCTCCTGCTCCATGTGCCCAACAGCAGCTGCACCCTGCTTGGCCCCAGTCTGTGCCCAATCCCTGAACCCTTTGCTCACACCGCCCCTGGGGTCTGCTTTGAATGAAGGACTTTTGCAGTATAGGTGTCAAGTACACTACGAGTCTTTAAAAGAGGATTTGGAGCCAAGTGAGGTGTTGCCTACGCCTGATCACAGAACTCTTAGCTGAGGCAGGACAGTCAAAATATGCAGTCTAGCCCGGGCAACTTAGCCACTTAGTGACAGCTTGTCACACAATGCAAAACCAAAGCCCCAGAAGGTAGTGAGAGAGTTCACTGGGATATGTCAAGGTAAAGGGATCGGAAGCTCCTGGGGGATTCCTAGAGCAGTTCTGCGTTCGTCTGTGGATGATTCCCATGTAGGAAGACACCCAGATGCGGTTGGCACCAACCAATAGGCCTGTATCCTGGACGGAATAAAAAGCAAAATAAGACATCTACACAATAAAGTACTACTCTGCCCCAAGAAAGGATAAACTCGAGCCATTTGTAGCAAAATGGGCGCACGTTCAGACCTTAACATTCAGTGAAGTAAACCAGACACACAGGCTTCAGCAGCACATGGCTGCTCTTACACAAGAAAGCTTTGCCTCTCAGGAGGCCCCCACGGTGTGGTACGCAAAGTGACCACGAAGAGGTCCACTACACTCCCAGAGAAGCTCTTGAGTTCTCCAATCCTCGTAAGCAGAGGTCTGAGAAACCAGTGTGGTAATGGATTTTAAGGACGTAGGCCAGTGGTGGAAGAAACAGACCTGGATCCGGGCGAGTTGCTCAGCATGGGCCCACATCGCTACCATGAAGGAGAGATTCTGAATCTAATGTTGCAGCTTCTGGAGCTTTTAAAAAACTGTTCATAGTTTATGTGGTTGGTTGGCAGAAGCACGGATTAAATCGCGGCCCACTGTGTGTGAGCCAGTGATTCCTGCTATCCCTTGGTTTACCTTTGATGAGGAAAGTCAAGGGCCTAAGAAAATAAGATTAGTGAAGTGAATTTGACAGGTGAAACATACTTCTCCACAGTGGGTGGACTAGAAAATGCACTCACTAACACCTCAATAAACAGACTTGTAAGGGCAGCACCAGCATCTTCGAAGAGCTCCGCCATTGTCCTACTCTTGAGCCAGACTTACAGTCACTCAGAGGGAAATTTAAAGGCAATGGGTTTGACCTGGCCCTGGAGCGGCAGAGTTCAAGGGGCAGCACTCAACCACTGTGCAGCAGGAGTTTGCACTGACCATAAAGGACAGTAGAAGCAAAGCAAAGAGCACAATGGCATGACGTGTGTAGGTCCATGGCATTAGCTGGTTGCTCATGGTCTTTGCCAGAAGAAAAATAAGCAGAAAGCCCACCAAAGTTTTACTAAAACAAACAAACAAACAAACAAAAAAAACCTTTATGTAAGAAAAATATATAGGAAAAATATTTAGGGGCAAATGAACAGAAGTCACCTGAAATTGTAGCAAGAGAGAATCACGGACCCTCAGGCAATTCCCAGAATTAAACTGACTTATAGAATCAAAATCCCTTGGAGGAAGGGGAGACAGGGGCCCTTAGGCAGGACCTTGGTGCACTCACTGCACCTCCAGGCCTTTGTACACTGAGGGAAAGTTTTGGACATTTAGGGGATGTGTGTATACTTGTTCTGAACTAAATCTGATTCCAGGAAATCCAAAATGTCTTTGTGGCTTTCTAGTACAAGTAGCGGCCTATGGAGGTCAGGTGATCAACAGAGTTTTGCCAACGTGTGGCTCACAGTGGGTCCCGCATGATCCTAAATTCACCCTGTAGTCATTTCCCAAGTTTCAGAGATCTTCAATCTTTTGCTCTTGATTCCTAAACTTCAAAGTTACAGCTGCTGCGGGCTGGGGATTTAGCTCAGTGGCTCTGCCACCTGCCTTGCAAGTGCAAGGACCCGAGTTCGATCCCCAGTAACAACAACAAGAAAAAAGTTACAGTTGCGGCTCCAGTGTTCTTTGCCCCTTCCCCTGCTTGGCTCTTCTCCATCGATGCCAACTCCCATCCATCCCTTGTATTTTACTTGTGTTTCCATTGAGTTCTCATCTCTGGAATGTAAACTCTACAATGGCACTGGTATTGCCATTTTTATTCATTACTTCATGCCTAAAGCCTACAATAACACCTTACACATTAGGCAATTCAGTGAGTAGTTACTGAGTGAGCATCTGAGGCCATCAAAGTAGACAAGATAAACTATCTCGCAGCCACCCGGTGGGAAAGTACACAGCATGGAAGTTAGATCAAAAAGAGCTTCTCATATTGATGATTAATTGCACAATGATGAACACTGGGAGCAGAAAATAGGATTTACAGGCAAAACTCTTAAGGTACCCACAGCATTTACATAAATGCAGTCAAGGCTTTCGTTGCTTCAGAGAATACACGTTGTGAAGTTTCAGGAAACGTGAGCGTGATGTCCCACTCAGAAGAGCGGCAGCGTCTGGCGGAAGGGATGCTGTTAGTTTCACTATCCATCACCCTACAACCCAGCTCATAAAGTCCCCTGCCTTTACCTTTGGCTCTCACCATCTGGCTCTGAGGAAATGGAGGCAGTGGAGCCCTGCTTGTTGCATAGGTAACCGTGGGGCGTCTCACACAGGTAGCACACACCTTGGAGAAAGGAGTTTCCCTGCTGCAGTGGTTTCTGTTCACTCAGAAGCCTCAGTGGCTGCATGGGCTGTGCCTCTTAGCACAGGGGAACAGGTTCCACACAGCACAGGGGCTGAGTGAAGGGAGCCTGGCAGAGGGAGCAGAACTTCACACTCCTGTACCCTGCCTTCCCCACGACGCTCCAGGCCAACAGCTGCCCCCGCATCCTGCCTTGTTCTGGAGACTAGGGCCGCACTATAGCCCAGGAGGCAAAGGCTGCTGGGACCTACCTCTGAATCAGTCTCCTCTGCCAGAAGCGCCTTTCCCACCTGTCCCACGCCCATCTAGGCATCCTGCCCTGGTCACTGTGCTTTCTCGGCCACCTCTCCCCTTCCCGAGGGAGCCGATCCCTCCCTCCCAGGCGTGCAAACCGAAAGGCAGGTGTTCACCGCCCCCCACGGCCACTTTTTCTGCCTCTCTTTCCGGTTTCTTGTTGCCGTGGTTTATATTTAGATGTCCCTTCAAAGCCTGTGGCCCTCCTAAGGTGGGGCTTTGGGGAGGTGATTGGATCACGGAGGCCTGATGCTCACAGGTGGATTAGTCCACTGATGAACTTCTAGTGAAATACGATGATGGGAGGTGGACCCTGGTTGGAGGAAGTGGGACACTGGGGCGTGGCCTGGCAGTTCGTCTCCTTCCCTCTTCCCTTGATTTCGCCGTTTCTTGCTGCCATGCCCTCCTTACTTTGGAGCCGGCAGAGTGGAGTGTGAACTGAAATCTCTACAGACTGAGAGCCAAACTAAACCTTTCCGCCTCTAACATGTGGGTGAGGGTACCGTGTCTAAGCTATGAGAAAATCACGTGTCCTGTCCTCCGTGTGCTGTGGACCTGGCCAGACTGGGCTCGGACACCTGCACACTTGAGCGCTTCATAAAATACTCGGAAAGCCGGGCGCGTGGGAAGAGCAGCCTCCCCCGAGGTGGTGAGCAAGGGAGACAGACCCAGCGCTCCGAGTGACAGTGGTCTCTGCTCGGGACCTTGCAGGTGCCGGCTCGGCCAGCCCCGTGCCGCCGCCCGGGCTGACTCGGAGAAGCTCATGCGTGGGAGGGCATCTTGGGGCTCCCGTACAGCTGCACCCTCTGAAGAGAGAGGTGCAATCCCGCGGGTCTCGGCAGCGGACTTCACAGGCGAGGTCACGTCCAGAGCTCTGTTCCTCGCCTTGCAGAGCGACACGATGACGGCCACTCTCCCGACCCGGACTGGAGGAAGCGACGGCTCCAGAGCCCGGCCCTGGCTGAGCTCTGCGGGGATAGCGCCCCCGTCCGCCGTCTCTGAGCGGACTGGCAAACTGAGGCTCCGGCGCTGCCGTGTCCCCAGGCCCTAGAAGTGCACTGTGGCGGCGGAAGGGACCACACGGAGCTGTCCACCTCGCGGCTG